GGGGGTATTTTAAGGAGGTGGGGTGGCAGACTGTCATAGATGAGGATGAGAAGGAGGGGAATTTACCTCTGGGCAAGATGGAGGGGAGGGTGCTTCAGGCTGCAGGGTGCACACCGTGGGGGTGGGCAGTGTGCCCTTAAGCAGTTGTAAGTACCCTCTAACAAGCCTGGTGTGTGCCTGGTGGCAGTAGACATACATGAAGGAGCACTAAGGTCATGAGTTCAGAAGTGCATTCCAGCCCTTCGTTGATTCTGGCTTTCCCTTTCCTTGCTTAGGGCCTCAGATGCCCCTTCATCAAGGGTCTTCATATCAAAGACCCAAAGACCTTGCAGGAAGTGCTGTGTCGCTCCTCCAAGTACCGCTTGGAAATCCTGGAGTGGATGTATTCAAGGTAACGGAGTTGTTTCTTCCTCCACCATTTTGGTGGCACACTTGGTATCACTCAACCCACCTGGGCGAGATGGGGTTTGTTCTGTTTATAAGTAGCTGTCCTCCCAAAGGGCTCTATTCCCTACTCCACATCACCGAGACAGCAGCTGCTCAGGTAAAAAGTGCCAGTTATGGAGCCATGGTCAAATTTGGGGTGAAAGTGCCCCCTAGCATTGCTTTGGGGAATCTCTTCACCACCTGGCTGAAGTGCTCAGCTTGGCTTCTGAGCATTCCTTTTTTTTTCTTTTAAGATTGCACTTATTTGATTGATATGTTTTGTTTATTTTTGTGTTTGTTTTTTTAAAATATGTCTTTATTGATTTCAGAAAGAGGAAGGGAGAGGAAAAGAGATAGAAACATCAATGATGATAGAGGCATTGATCGGCTGCCTTCTGCATGCCCCCCACAGCCCAGGCATGTGCCCTGACTGGGAATTGAACCATGATCTCACGCTGGCTGGGCTGAGCATTTTTTAAATTTTTTTTTACTTTACTGATTTCAGGGCTGGCAGGGGCCTGAGAAATGATCTTACTTACTTCAGTCCTTTTGTTTTCAGGCTAGAGTTGTAACTGCCGTGGGTCTTACCACTAAGGAGTGACAAGCAGGGCCAAGGCCCCTGTTTCCCAGTCCTTCAGGTCAAGTTGTGGCTTGGTGTATGTGCTTGGCACTGTGTAGGGGAAGCAAAGCCTGCCCAGATGGCAAGGGGAAAGATCCAGAAAGTCCCACAGAATGTCTGTTTCTTGGGAGCAGCAGCCCCTGAGCTGAGCATCTGTCTTAAGGCTCAGGTGGGGAAGACAGGCCCCATGGGGAAGACAGGCCCTGTGCTTCTGGGTGTTAGCCCCAGGACCCATTCTGGAGTGCCCATGCTTGGTCAGTATAGGAGTCTTTTATGAGGCCAGGCTTGGGCCTGCCCCTCTTCAGCCTGGCCTGTCTGCCTTTGTAGCTTAGGAAGACACCTGGGCAGGTGCCTGGCAATGGAGGATCGAGGGTCTAGCCTGCACCCAGCTGGTCTCTGCTGGGCCACAGGATGTCAGCAGGCCTGGCCCTGAGCTGGGTGTCCTAGGGACAGCCTGGAGGAAGGAGGAGGCATTTTCATGTTTAAGCCTCTCCTGCTGCCTTTAGGCCCTTCCTCAGGTTCTACCACAGGCCTTGGCATACCCGCACTCTTATAACCTTTTGCTCTCGTGGACCTGTTCTCCCTCCTAGAAATGCCCTTTAGGTCCCTGCATGTCACATATACTCCGATACAGCCTTCCAAGACCCAGATCACTTATCCTATCTCCTTTTATTTTATTTTTTATTATTAAAAGTGTTTTAAATCGATTTTAGATGAAGAGAGAGAGAAAGAAAAGCATCCACGTGAGAGAGAAACACGTCAATTGGCTGCCTCCCGCACACGTCCCTACCAGGGATTGAACCCACAACCTTTTGGTGTATAGGACAATGCTCCAACCAACTGAACCACACCAGCCAGGGCACATCCTATCTCCTTTTAAAAAGTCTTCAGTTCCCAGGGCAGAACATTCTTCCTTCCCCTGGACACCCACAACATTTGAGCATATTCCTGCCAGAGCTCTCAGCCTGTTGGTTTTGTCTTGGCCTGCTGTCTTGTCTGGCTCTCCAAAGCACTGGGAGCTGCTGGAGGGCAGGTACCAGGCAGGACTTCCCCATCAGCCCCAGGCTGCAGCAGTGTTGTACTGACAAGAGGGTCCACAGACACATGCATACCTGTGCCATTCCAGGTGCCTTAGACATGGATGGGTGCCCTCAAGGAGCTGGGGTTTTAGTGGCTGCAAAAGGCTGAGGCACGAATCCCAGTGTTGGGCACACCTCTGCAGTCTGAGTGCTGTGGACATTGGCAGGGAGGAGGTGGCATTTGATCTGGGATGGAACAGGTAATTGTAGGTGCTCATTTCCACAGGAGCAGGGAGTCGAGGTGTGGGAGGGAGAGCCAGGCAGCAGTAGCCTGAATGGCAGCCCAGGGCAGCTGATGTGGAGCCTTGCAAGTCACGTGAGGCCTTTGTGCTCTGGGCAGAAGGAGCATGGGACCAGGGGAGCACCATACTGAAACTGGAATTTTGGCAAGGTGACTTGGGTTCTGTGGCAGATGGATTTGGAGGGGAGAGGCTGGAGGCAGGGAGACCAATACGGAAGGTGTAGCAACAGCAGGAGGGAAAGATGACAGGATTCTGGCTCAGAATGGCAGATGGCTCATGTGACAGCCATTGACAGCCCTGGAGGGACCTTGTCCAGTGCCTTGTCCAGGAACCTAGGAGGAGAGAGAGTATTGGGGATAGCCTGGGCTAGTGCAAAGGTCTTGAGATCGCTCCCAGGAGGAGGAAGGTCAAAGCTATGACTTGGAAAAGCTCTTGTGGGAGGGAGCCCAGATCTGCCTGGCCAGATGGAAGCTGGGAGCTGGGCTGCTCTCCTGGGCAGAGAGACATGGTGGGCCGTCTACAGCTGCATTCCTCAGATGCTTTTAGTACTTTCTTAAATACAAGAAACTGAATCATTTTAATGATCCCAAGCTGGCAAAAGTGCTGCAGTCCTTTCAAGGGCCTGATAAGAGGATTGGACAGAGTTCAGTTTCCCCTGCAAGTTCATGTTGGCTTTCTTTGCATGTGGCTTTCCATTTTAGCCCTCATTTAGGGTCACTTTGTTCACCTCTCTCTTGACAGAACCTGGAAGCTACACCCAGCGTTGGCTGAGGAGCTCAGCGTGGCAGCTCTTGGTGGCCCATATGCCAGCTGAGCTTGCCCTCAGTGTAGCAGGGGAGCAGAACCACCTGGCCCCGTGGGTGTCTGAGTTCACAGAACATGGGTTTCCTTGGCTCCCAAAGAGCTGTACTTGCTTTCAAGGCTTTGAATGCTGTTAGTTTCTGCCCCATTCCCTGCTACTCCAGGAAAATCAACTTTAATGAAAGCCCTTTCTGAGCGAGGTCACTCAGGCTTTTGCAGATTTGTTCTTCAGTGTGTTAAAGTGGTTTGCTGTGGGTCAGCCTGATGGATCACTGAGCGCTCTCCACTGCTTGGTGCCTTGTGAGTGGGCACATTGCTGGGCAACCAGGCCCAGGGTCCAGCCTCTTTGTATTTCACATGGTGGGGCTCTTTCTTCTGCCCTTTCTGCCCCTGCCCTCTTTGGCAGAATGGGGATGGGGTGGAGTTATAAGGGGTTGTCTTAATGAGTTATGAAGACAGGTGGTGCAGCTGAGCAGCTAAGGCTGTTGGGTCCACCCTCCTCTCTACTGCAGTCCTGCAGCGTGGGGCCCCGGGCCAAGGCCTGGGGTGGCCCCACTAACTCCCAGGGCCCTAGCATGGTCAGGGCAGGTGTGGCCTGGGACACAGGTATTGGAGGCATGGCCCCAGGGAAGGAGCAGTGAGCCTTCTCCATGGAACAGTCACCATGCCTTTGCACCACACTGAGTCATAGGCCCCTAGTAGTACCTTGATGGTAGGGTGGGGTCTTGGACCCCACCATCCTGTGGAAAAGAGCCTCTTGTCTTTATGTAGGGAGGGTTTCCCATGGCAGCCAGCTCCTGGGGCTCAGACCATGTCCCCTCACAGAGGAGACCCAGTGGGAGGCCTGAGCTGTGTGTCACTTGTGATGCCTGCCAAGGCACTGCGGCCCTTACTGCCTTTGGATGTGGTCTGTATCTAGAAAGGGTTCTGCCCATCACCTTGGCATCTTAAGGCAAGATGCTTATGAGTGGCCACTGTATTTATCTGTGTGATGTCATCAAGGTCAAGGCTCCACCAGGCTAAGGAGGGGAAACTGGCATTGCTGTCTCTCCACCCAGGGCGTTGGGGCTGTGACCCCAGAGCCCATAACACTAGGAGCCTCCAAATAGCTTAAAGCTGTGACCCGGAGTAGCTTAACTGCTGATTTTTGCTTTTTTTTAAAAAATAGTGTTCCTCTGATGAAAGAGCTAAGTGTGGACATTTACTAATGGCAGATTATTCTGTGGCAAGAGGCCATGGTCACTCATTTGTTAATGCTCACTGGCTGCCTTTTCTGTGCTGGCTGCTGCATTAGGCTCCACAAATATGGGATGGAAAGCCATCTCCTGGCCTTGGTGAGCCCGAAGTCTGGGGATCGAGACCCCACTGAAGGACAGTGCCCAGGCCCTGCTGTGATGGAGGGATGCCAAGGTGGCTTTCGTGGGGGCTATGGCTTGGTGTGCTCCAGCAAGGAGGCTGAGAAGAGCAGACACTGTGAAGAGAGGCAAAGGAGGGGGACCCAGGTGACCTACAAGCATGCCAGAGCAGGGAGGGCTGTCCTTGAACATCCTCCAGACAAACCTGTGCCATGATTTAAGAAAAAACTGGCCCCTTGGTTCCTTCGGAGAAAGAGCTAGAGCTCTGAGGAATTCCATTTTGTACTCTTGGGCAGTCTTTTTTT